AATAACAAAGTATATATTTTTTGCATCAAACATAAATAAAAATTAATTTAACACAAATAATTAAATCAACAAAATTGTTCCAAATAGAGATTAATCCAACATAAAGCAACATGTTCCAAACATAAGTTGTTCCAAATATATATAGAAATTAATCCAACATAAAGCAACATACTTGTTCCAAATATAAGCAAAAATCAACCCAACATAAATAAAATAACTAAACTAAACCAACATTCAACATGAAGGGAAGCAGCCAAGAACCAACTCAAAACACTTTAGCTCTCAAAATCCACAATTGCTCATAAAAAGACCTACAATACAATTAGTAAATACTTTATGTTAACATATTTATAAAAAAACTATTTATATTATTAGCATAAAAAAGGGTCATGCATATAAAAAAGTTGAATTCTGAAGCAACAGTGGATATGTTCACAAGAAAACATTAGCCATGAGCATCTTCAAAAAGCCTGTCTCAGTTCAACAAATTTACCACAAACTATGCATTCAATTGACTATTTGCATGCAGCATAGCAAAACAACCATAGCAATTCCACTAAGACCACACTACTAACACTATTTCAATTTACAAAATATAAAGAGATGGAAACCCTTAACCCGCAACAATTGAAAAATCACAATAAACCTACCACCTAATTTGAAAGCCTAAGTATGGGAATCTATTAGCACAAGGTTTGTTTTTTCTATCACAGTAGAGTGAAAAAATTCATGGAGCCCTAATTTATATCCGCACATACTTTACATTAGCAAGACTGAGGCAACAAAACAAAATTAAAAGACCAACCTTTCAGAAGATAACTACCCAAACCAAGAATCCACTTCGCAATAAGAAAAAAAAAAAAAAGAATAAATTGGAACACAGAGTCAATGGCCGTAAAATGTGGGGTTAAAGAGATGGGTTACACAGACTTTTTGGATTTCCTTCTAGTAAGAACTGTAAGGGGTGAAAGCCAAGTCTAAGCCATTGTAGGATAGCTTTTGAAGGCCAAGCAGAGCAGGCCTGCTGCAGAAATCGATTTCATGGGTTTTCAGGACTTCTTTAGCCATTTTTGCGGAAGAGACTACGAGAGTTTGGCGAAACCCAAGTTTAAGAGACATGAAGGGACCGTATTTTTGGGAAAGTTGATAGAGGTAAACGTGAGGTGATGAATTATCGAGCTGGTGCAAGTTATCGATAAAGGGAAGACTTGGCGGACCTAGTGGAAGGAGATTGGTATTACGGCCATTGACATTACAGATGTATTGAGTCAACCGAACAACAGAACCGACCTGCAACTGAGAGGACGTAACAAGCAGCAAGAGCAGAGAGGGAGTTCGGCACAGGCAACAGGATGAACTCCAGCAGATCTGCAGGTTGCAGCTAACAGCTTTGACAGCAACTCCAGGAGCAAATCTGTAACAGCTCCAGCAGCATATTTGTAGCAGCTCCAACAGTAGACCTGTAGTAGATCTGTAGTAGCAAGAAGGGGAGAGGAAGGTTGAAGGTGAGGTGAGACTTGAGAGCTTGATTG